GAAAAATCTCAACAATATAACAAATTTCAGGTTATAAATGTATTTTATTCTATTTTTCTTAACAAGTACAAAATATTTTTGTCAAATCGATTTTTTTAAAAGTATTATGTATTTTATTTGTATTTACTTCAATATTAGTAGTAAACAAATTAAAAAAAATAAATCTTGATAAATGTGCTTTCTAATAATGTTTAAGCAATACTTTTAAAAATATGAATAACGCGTTGAGAAGGTTGGATAAGTTAAGTGAAAAAAAACAACTCTTTTTATTGCCTGAATTAATAAATTAATAAAAAAAAAATATTGAAGAGTAATTTTTTTGCAAAAAATAATTTATGAAAAATGATCAATAATTAAAAAGAAAAGATTTATTTGATTTATATATTTTATTGGAATTTATGCCTGCAAAAAATTACTTGTTAGATTTTCAGTAAGATTATACTAAAAAAAAATATATATGTTAGGTTTATGCGAACAGTTAAATATATTTTTTTTAAAGCTACAACAATATATAAAATGAAATATTATTATAAAAATAGCTTGTTAATGTTTTTTTTTGTTATATCCTCTGCTTGATTGGCGTCGTTTTAAACTATGACGAAATCTCTAATTAATATAATTTATAATTTGTCGACGTTTTAGCTCCGATGAAAAGCTGAGAAGATATTAATTTTACCATGATGTATTTATTATTTTTTTTTTTGTCTGTCGCCATTTTTTCTCAGCTCTCACTGACCTATTTATTTCAACAATACGTCAAAAGAACCCAAATCATATCTAGTTGAAGACATTGCACTTAAAAAAAATTTCCTCGTTTTCTATAAATAAGTGAAATTCTCCAAAAATTACGATTTTTAAAACCGGTTAATTTCGACATTTTTTAAACTTTTTTTTCTTAAACTTCCATAACTTATTGAAGAAATGAACGAATCAAAATAATTTTTTTTAATTTAAGTTTCAGGTATTTTCCTTTTATTTGGTATAAATTTTTCGAAAATTCAATCCTTTATCTGCCCTTAGGGAGATATTCAAAATAACAACTTATGCACAAAAATTTTTCTTTTTTTACTTAAGTTTTGAAAATGTTCCGGAAATACTCCGAGCTTCAATAATAAAATAAAGTTTATAATATGTTCTATAAGTTCGAAAAAATTTGTCCTGGCAACTTATTTTTTATGTGCAAATGGCTGTCGTGGTTAAAAAACATGCTATTTTTGTTTTCAAATTTTATTTTTTTTGGTCTATTTCAAAATTTTAAAAGTTTGCCATAGTAATAAGTCCACCAATTTTCTAAAATTTACATGAATCTAATTTACATTAAATATAAATTTAAACTTATTTTCATTACTTTTTCTCCTCAAAGTTAAGAATAATAGCTGCTTTGAATTTTTTGAACTAGTTTAAATTGCCATTTTTAGCTATAATTTCGTGTAATGCATGGTGGCTGCGTCAAATATAATATAGTCACACATGCTCGAAGTTCGAGGTTCTGAACCCTACCCATTGAAAGAACTCTTTTGTATATTTTTCTTAATTTTTTTTTAGATATAAATAAAATTCAAAGTTCGTTTAATTTTTAACTCATTTTTATTTTATAACTTTAATAAATAGCAAGGACCTATCACTTTAATCTCCCATCATGAAAAGAAATTTCTTATTCATATTAAAATTATTTTACTATGTTTGTTTTTTTGTGTCTGTCATTCATTTTTCTCAGCTCTCACTTGACTAATTTTTGTAAACATAACGTCATATGATCACAAATGTCAAGTTAAAGATTTAACCCTCCTTGTTATTTAAATAATTCACCAATTTCTTAAAATTAAACACTATCTACAGATTTGCATTGAATCGTTTCTTATGATGGTGATTTTAATCACTGTTAGATATTATCTATACTTGTGCCAACTATACCACGACCCTACTGTGTTACCGTTTTATATGCTCATTCAGTATAAGTTAATTAATTATATAGATATTTACAAAATTATAATTTTCCCAAAAATATGTTTATTATAAATGTATATATTTCCATTGAATAAAAGAACATTTTTATTTGTACCTTTTTTTTATACAGGATTTAGAAAAGGAAATTAGAGGAAAAGCAAATTCTGTAAACGATTTGATTTCAAAAATTCTGTTCATTTTAATGTTAAAATTTGAATATAATTACTAATCAGGCCTTTCAATTTTTATACACATTATCCTTAAAGCAACAATTACTTTATAATTTTTTTAAATTTCTCCGTAAAAATTACAATAGTTAATTTTTAAATATCAATTTCATACTACGATGAATTGCTTTAATAGATATTTAATCATATATTATACTTGTAAATCATAGAACTACTAATTAGGAACAATGAAGGAAATAGGAGTTAATTTTGCTTTTGAATAATCCACCAATTTCTTAAAATTAAACAGTATCTACAGATTTGCATCGAAGCGTCACTTATGATAGTGATTTTAATCATAGTCAGATATCATCTATACTTGTGCCAACTATACCACGACCCCACTATGCTACTATTTTATATGCTGATTCAGTATAAGTTAATTAATTATATAGATATTTACAAAATTATAATTTTCCCAAAAATATGTTTATTATAAATGTATATATTTCCATTGAATAAAAGAACATTTTTATTTGTACCTTTTTTTTATACAGGATTTAGAAAAGGAAATTAGGGGAAAAGCAAATTCTGTAAACGATTTTATTTCAAAAAATTCTGTTCATTTTAATGTTGTCTCGTCCAAAAGACGGGTACCAATTATCTATTTTGGAGGGAGGGAAATAATAAAAAAACAAATTAAAATATTTAATTGTCAAAAAAAATGTTTTAAATATGAAAAATTGTACATCAGTACATTTTTCTCCATAATAACAATATCATATAATTCTTAATTTTGAGTTTTTACAATTTTAAAACTCATATTTAAAAGTATACTTCATTGTAAATATTAAATTAAATTTCTTATTTTATAAAAAAACGTATAAAAATCTTATAACAACTTAATCTATTTTATTTTTTCAACACTAGTAAATGCTCTTTTACCAGTTTCAGCTTATTTATTACTTGGTTTTTTATACCATTTTACTATTTCAATTCGTCACGAGTTCGTAGAAACCATGATATTATTTTTAATTATATGAAATGTCCTAAAATTGTTCAAATTCATCAAAAATTAGTGTTTGAACATGCGCTCATGAACAATGTTCTTTCCAAACGCTATTAATAATATAATAGAACAAAAAATAACCAATAATTATGTTCTTACAAATTTTTTTATCCGATGGATATTTCATCTANAGGATTATCTACAAGAGTGAAGCAGATATCGTCACGATATCAGTCAATGCAATCAACAATTAAGGTTACTTAATAATAATAAAAACCTTCTATTAACTAGTTAATATGTTTGTTTAAGTTGTATAATTTCTATTAATTATAATTTTTAGGATATTTTAAATAATTGTAAAGATTCAATTATTGTTCATCAGAATTACATTGATAAATACAATGAATGTTTTATTCAACTATCAAATACTAAGGAGCAATTTGCTATGGCTTGTCAGCCTATATCATTATCACAAAATATACAGCAGTATTTAGTGAAAAAATATGGAGCATTAAATGATCTCTTAAATTCTAAATCAAATATTACTTTTTTGTTAAATAGCTGCGTAGAACTTAGTGATAAATTATATTTAAACACATGTCCATCTGGAAAAGAAGCAATTAAATCCCAATTAGATAAGCTTCAAAATTCAATTGACACTTTATTCGATGATATAATGAGTCTAAACAGAGAAGTAAAAAATGAATTAAATAAATGGAGTGAGTTTGAAGAAATGAATAGTGAATTAAAGCAGTGGTTTAGTGAAATTAAGAGAATTATTAACAAAAATATGGAACTAAAATCTACGTTAGATGAGAAAAAAATGCAACTCCAAATCTACAGAGATATACTGCAAACTACATTAAAACGAGAAACTGATGTTAAGAAACTTGTAAATAATATAAAACAATTACAAATACATGACAATAGTGATACTTTCCTAGATTCTATTAGTAATCAATATGATGAAATACTTAATAAAATTCAGGAATTTGTTAATAAGTATGAAGCTATAGTAAAAGATCACGAACAATATACAACTTCGGTAATGGAAATGCAAGAATGGCTTGATGCAACTCATAATACATTATTATTGTGGAGTGATACCAACTTAGAAAAAATTTCACTTTTGGGCAATCTTGATCGTATAAAAGTAATAAAAAAATTAATAAATATTTGCTTTCGTGAATAATAATTCGAAATTATTTAATTATTCCAGAATTTATTAGTAAGTTTAACTGGAGAAGAAAATAAAATTCATGCTATAAAGAAATTGGCAGAAAAAGTTATTCCTGGTACAAGCGAACAGGGTCAGGTAAATATAAGATCACAAATTGATTCATCACAACAAGACTGGGAAGGTCTTATATCATACGTAAAGTAAGTTAAGAAGATTTATTTATTAACTTAATTATCTGTAAATAAAATTTAGTAAAATATTTTTCAATTATGACATTTAAATTATAAAAACTAATAACTTGAAATCAAATAGGACCATAAAAAAAAAAATCTATATTATATAATAGTTAAATGTATTTTATGTAGAATTTCGCTTCTGATATCAAATTTTGTTTCAGATTTGTAAGGGTCTGTGGGAATAACGTCCTATATAGCAATTTGTATTTTGTTTGGTTGTATAAATATAATTAGATAAATTTATAGCATGTTATTACACAAAAAAATTAAATCCAATAGTGTTACAATTTTTTTTTTTTTTTTTTTGTAGAATAACGCGATTTATATCAAGTTATATTTATAGAATAAGAAAAAAAATTATATGAATTGTTACATAGGACATCATTACCTTTCAATTACACACTTAAAAACTCATAAAAAATATTTAAAACAATTTTAGCTTTCACGCGAAGATGAGATGGTATTAATTTTACAATGATTATTTATTTATTTATTGTGTCTGTTACCATTTTTTCTCAGCTCTCATCCAACTGATTTCTTTTAACGATATGTCAAAAGAAGACAAATCGTATCTAGTCGAACACATTACTCATATAAATTGAAAAAATTTCCCTAGTTCCCCGTAAATAGGGTGAATCTCCAAATAAATTACAAATTTAAAAATCGCTAATTTTCGAAATTTTCGAAATTTTTTTTACTTAAAATTTCTATAACTTTTTTAAAAATGACAAAATCGATATAATTTCTTTTATATAGATACATGAGGTACTTACCTATCATTTTATATAATTTTTTTATAAATCTGACCTAATATACCCTTTACCTACCCACAGGGGGATTCAAAATTACAACTTTTTCAACTTAATTTTTTAAAGTTCCGGAAATATTGACATTTTTATATATATCTTATATTAAAGATTATTTAATATACTCTAATATTAAAAAAAAAATTTCAGACTTCACGGTGAAAATAGACATCAAAGTTAATAAAAAAATACGATTTTTGTAAAAAAATTCTTTTTTATATTTTAACTTCATTTATATATTGAAAAATGTATGTAAGTTTAAATTAAATAACTTAAGTGGATACTTGGAGTCATCATTAATCTAAGAATATTCAGATGAAATTATATACATTTTTTCTCTAATATATTAAAGATTATTATTATTATATTAGAGATTTATTCTCTAATATATTGTACTATAATCAATAAAAAAATTTGATTTCTGCCAGCTCTATAAAATCTATCTATATTATGTATTAAACATATATAAAATTATTAATGAATAAATTGATTTTATTATTTAAGAACTTCAATTGAAGCTTTAGAAGAAAAATTAAATAATTGGAACGAGTTTGATACTTTAAAAGATTTGTTTTTAACATGGTTGCGTGATGCAGATTATAAAATTCATGCTATCGATTTAAAAACATCATTACAAGAAAAAAAAAATCAACTTGATGAACTCAAAGTAAAAATCTTTAGTTTTATAAACTAAATATTATATTAATTTGATTTATGGTTCATTTATGAATTACCTAATTAATCTAAAAAAAATTGAGAGTTTAAATATTTTTGGGTTTATCACTTATCTTTTATAACGGTGTCAACTTTATTTTTTCAAATGGCAACATACACAATTAACTAGTTTATTTATTAGATAATGACCTCATTAAGAAAATAACTGATGGATAACAAATTTTGGATATTATNAAATGGCAACATACACAATTGACTAGTTTATTTATTAGATAATGACCTCATTAAGAAAATAACTGATGGATAACAAATTTTGGATATTATTAATATTTTAAAGTGTTATATGAAGGTGAAACGCGGGTGTAGTTATTTTTATCACTAGTCATTTCCCTCCGTACTTTTCCTCCTACTTAGGTATAAATATACTGTATGATTGACAAATTGAGAAAAATATGTAACTAAAAGATACTAATCAAAATTCTCAATATATATAATATTTTTTGATTAATTTAGTAGTTCATGATAAATGAAACAGTCTATAAATTGTTCAAGATTATAATTTTAATTAAACATGTATGTCAAACACATTATAAAATAAGAGAAGTTTGATAAACTGATAAAAGCAATAGTAAATTTCCATGACTTAAAATTAATTTTGTGATATATTTTCTAAATCTGGTTCGTCAGTAAAATTAAATAGTTATTATAATTATTAACTTAATATGATAATTTTATTATAACCTTAATTATTTATCGTGTCTAGTGTACTAATAAAAACGTATAAACTAAATTTTATACTAACTACCTTGTTGACGGGGTAAATTAACTTGATAATTAATATATCTAAAATTATGGCTGAAATGTATAATTCCTAACTTAAACATTTTCTCACTAAATTGAATATCTTAAAAATGAATCAGATTATATAATATTAATTTAGTTTTATTTGAAATTATTAAAAGACCTTTATTTTAAAGATTAGGTTAAATCATGCCTAATCGCATGATTACCGTCTGTAAACTCACCCCAACTGTTTTTTTTTGTTTTATTAAAATTTTTCAAAAATTATCTATTTTTATGATCATGAAGATGATAAAAGTTACATTTCTTGAATTTTATATCAGATATAAAAAATTTAATTACTTTTTATTAATTTAAATTTTAATAAATTAATTTATTAAAATTAATAAATTTAAATTAAATTTTATATATTAGATTTTCCTAAAATATTTTGGAACTTACTTTTTTAATTAAAAATTATGTTTTTTAATTGGATAAATAATTAATATTTTATCTCAAAAATGGGAAACTATATAAAAACATCGTAAATAAAATAATGTCAACAGATTTTTTATAATCAACTTCATTGAAAAATATTAATTGCTTTAAATTATTTATTACTTTAAAAATTGTGATTGAACCGTGTGAGCTTGTTTTAGTCTCCCCTACTAAATATATTTACATATTTACTGTTCAATAAATCATTTAAGTTTTTTTTTTAAATAGTTGAGAACCATACATCCTTTTTTTCTATTAATTCGATCAAACAAATTACTTTTGTAAACTATTAAAAAAATATATAAAATGAAATATCATTATTTTGTGCAAAACTAACTTTGCATTTTTTCTCCTGGGACGTTATCGTTAATTTTTAAGCACCATTATCTTTATTTTATCATTATGTACAACAAATAAAAAAAAATCTTTTAAGACAAACATTTGACACGATATTTATACTTTCAATTATAGGATCTTCAGGGAATTCTTCGTACAAAAGAATTTGAAATTGATGCTATTACAGAAAAATCTCAAAACTTATATACTTTATGTATGTCGAATAAAAACTCGCAAATTAGTGAAATAGTACAGAAATACCATAATCTTTCAATGAAAATCAAAGTAAGTATTCAATTAATAATATACTTTTTATTACTTATAAATACAACTTTATAGGAATTGATTGAAAAATGGCAGCAATACGTTGATATTCATTTAGAGTTTGAGAGTAATTTAAATGAAGCCATTATATGGCTTGAAAATACTGATGATAAACTTACTACCTGTGGTGATTTCAAATCTACAAATAAATCCGATTTAGAAGAAAAATTGATAAATATTCAAGTATTTTTTATTTGTTTCTAATCAATAATATTATAAATTATAGTAAGATAAATAATAAAAAATTATATTTGTAGTGTATTTCTATAAAAGGGTATCTTTCAATATTATGTTTTAAATAATGATTCATTTGTATAAATTCCAAAGTGATAATCTTTCATGCTAAAAAATGTATTCAACCCTCTTTATTTTTTTTTTAATTCAAATTTTTAGGAAGTGTTGTTGTACAAAGAAAACGGTTTTAACATGATTCAAAATTGTACTAAAAAAGGACAAATAGTATTAGCAAGCACCACACCTGATGGTCATAAAGCAATCAATGACTCACTTATATCTTTGCAAGAACATTGGAGTGCATTAGCTTCTAAAATGTTAGAAACTAAGGTAAAAAAAAACAATAATAACACTCTGCGCTTTACCTAATAAAACATTATTATTTTTAATTTATTTGTATTTATAAATATATTAAAATATATTCAACTTAGGCTAACATTGATGAATCTATTAAAAAATGGTCAGACTTTTCGGAAAATGTCAAACAAGTTGGAAAAACTATTGACAAATTTGAAGAAACTTTATCTGAATTAACAAAATTTGAAACATCGTTATCTGAGAAACGAAGTCAATTAGAAAAAATAAAAGTAAGTGATTTATAAAATTATTTTGTTTTATAAATAAATAACGGACAATTTTATAACTGAGAACTAATAATTAATGATATCGAAAGAACAATATTTTGGATAATATTAAAATAGCATATTTTAGTTTTTAAATTTTTGATGACAAAGAACTGATGAAGTTTTATGTAAATATAACACATAATTTTAAATTTCAATCAGAACATAACTTTAGTCGTATAGATTTTTATGATAGCGTTTATTTCACTTATAATAGAAATATTATTTTAAATCTGTATATTTTTATTCGTTGATTTTAAAGTTATTATTTATTTTAAATATTATGATATTAACATATTTGTATTACTTCAGAATTTAGACGAAAAAATAAAAAGTGAAAGTATCGAAATGGAGCTACTAAAATCAAAAGCCGAAGAAATACTTAAAAATGGTTATCAGAGTAGTACGATATTTGACACTCGAGAATTATTCAAAAAGTTTGATAATATTTCAGACAAAATAAAAGTAAATAAATATTTTCAATTTTATTTCTTATTTATTTATATTAATATTTTTTATTGTAAATTATGAAAAAACAATAGGTTTTGAAAATATTAAAAGGTCAAATTATATGTTAGTTTATTAATTATACTTTTAGACTTTACTATCTGAGCGAGAGCAACAATTTAAAGATCATAAATCTTACAAAGAGGCTTTTGATGAACTATCAAATTTTTTAAATAGATCTAAAGAAAAAATACCTATTTTAAATGAACGTCCTTTAAATGATAAATTAGCAATCGAGCAAAGTATTACTCCTCTCGATTCACTTCTAAATAAAAAAGCTCAAGGTGAATTATTACTGGATAATTTGGTCACGATTGGCAATGTTATTAAGACTAACACATCTGATAGTGGAAACGTTATTATTAGTGAAGAGATATCTATGATATCGGATGAACTAACGCGGTTCTTTGACGGTATTTGAATTTGTATTTTTTTAACACTGCTATTGTTAACCAATTTTTAAACATCATATAAATATTAAAGATGTAACAGCTCAAAAAGAAACATTGCAAGCTATACACTCACATTGGAGAGAATATAAAGATGAATATGAAAAACTATCTGACTGGTTGCAACAAAATGATATAACTATGAAGTCATTAAAAAATACATTACTTGCGACGCTGGATGAAAAAAAAAATCAAGTGAAACAAATTGAGGTGAAATTATTTTGGGTTTTTAATTAGCTTTTAAATAATTATTTATAATTTACCTAAATCATATATGTAGGATGTACTTGATGATTTAAAAAATGGAAAATCAAATATTAATAAATTTAATAATGATTCTACACTGTTATTGACATCACATTTGGGTCCTTACATTAGCAATCAACTGAGGCAACTTAATTCTCGTTATGAAGTAAAAATTTACTATAAAATTATTAATTAATTTTTTATATTATCATAAGTATAATATTTATATATTTTTTAAGATCCAAGTAAATTTAGCCAATGATGTTAAAAAAAAAATTGAAAGTAATTTAGAGCATCACATGAAGTATGAAGAATTATTAGAAAAAGCAAAAAGTTGGATAAATAACGCTAAAGAAGGCATTCGGCATAGAAATGAGTCTGTCAACAACTTGAGTAAAGAAATTTTACAAGCGCGTTTAAATAAAATTTTGGTAAATATTTATGTTTTTTTTTTTACGTTGTTAATTTATTATATTTATACATTTTTAGGAGATTTTAAAAACACAAGAAGAAGGTCAGTTAATTATTCATTCGACTATTAACTGCGGTGAAAAAGCTCTTAGAAGCACTCGATCAGATGGAAAAGATATAATAAACAATCAATTGAAAGAAATTCAATCAGACTGGGAACGGCTCATTAAAAAGATTTCAAATTCCAAAGTTCACATTGAAACAAGTTTATTGCAGTGGGCTGATTATAACTCATCATACTCACACTTGCAACAGTGGATATCAGATCGGGAGGCTAAACTCGAGAATGTATGTGAACATAAGGTAAATTAATAAAATTAATCTTATTATATAATTATATTTTATTAAATTTTAAATAGGTTTTAAATGTAAAAAAAAGTCAAGTGGGCGTTGGAACGTTAAGCATAGGAGAACGAAAGGCAGCATTAAGAAAAACGAACAGTATAATGCAAGATATAGTATCATTCGAACCCATGATACATAAAGTTACTCTAAAGGCAGAAGATTTGCAGCAAGCTGTGCCAGCTAATGAAATAACTAACAAATATCAAACATTAAGTATTAAAGCTAAAGACTTGTATGAGAAACAAAAAGAAGCTGTAAGATTACACCAAGATTTTATTGACGCTGGTAATGATTTCGCTACTTGGTTGAGAAACGCTAAAGAAAAAGCTAGAAAAATATCTGATCCTACAGGAGACAAAGAAACCTTAAACAAAAAATCTGTTCAATTAAAAGTGAGTTATTATGCCTTATATATATATTTTTAATATTTTTATTTTATAACTTTGTATATTATAAAAATTATTTTATTTTTTTTTTTAGGTATTAATTAGTGAATTGACAGAAGGACAGACAAAATTAGAAATAGCACTTGAAAAAGCAGAAAAAGCTTGCTTAAATGCTGATGGTGATGAAAAAGAAATAATTGAACAAGAAGTAGCTATGCTACAAGAAGAATATGACGTATACACAGAATCATTACAAAACACGAAATCATTATTAGAAGTATATTATTAGAAGTATTAAATTTTGTTAATATATTGCTAATTGTTTCTTAGGATGGCATATGCAAGTTAAATGAATTCGATGATTATTCAAATACTGCTATAGAATGGTTAAATAAAACAGAAAAATTAGTACAATCGTATAATAAATTACAACCTAGTCTCGAGAAGAAAAAACAGGCTTTAGAAGAATTTCAGAATCATCTTCAAACATTATTTGATTGGCAAAGTGAATTGGATAATTTGAATGGAAAAGCACAAGTAATAAAACAAATCATATGTTTAAATAATATGTTCTTTACAGTTATAAGAAATTTATTTAGATATAAAAAAAACTTTAAATTTAACAATTGTATACTTTCTAGATTCTCTTAGGGACTTGTTCAGATACTCGACTTTCTAACTCAATTACTCAAATGACCACTAAATATGATACATTGATTTCACTCGCTAAAGAAGTTATGCGTCAACTTGAACAGCACTATCAAGAACATCAACAACAAAACTCTTTATATCAAGAAAGCCTTGATTGGATTGAAAGAATACGAGATAAAGTATGGAACTATTGGATATATAGTTACTGTTGGACTTTATTTCTTTGTAAAGTCCGTTTATTCGTAAGATGGTTTCGACCCATCCTTTTTTTATTTTTTCAATAGGATTTGTACTAATTAATTAAAATTCTGTTTTACTTCAGAATTTTTTATTTTATAGAAACTATTATTTATGGAAACTCTACATTTTTTATTATTTTATATATACATATGTAACATCCTCTTTTTAAAACTATTGCTTATATACAAGAAAAGATGGTAAAATCTAAGCACTTAAATCAAAATTACTTATTAGTTAATAAAAAATTGCAACCTTTATAAAACCTTTAAAATTATAAAAAGTTACTTTTCAAAATAGTCATGACAATTCAGAATTCACTTTCTTCATTGAGATAATTTTATTTAAATAAAAATAATTTTTTCTTAACGCTTTTGATTGCAGTTACATTATTGCATAAAATAATCAAAAAATAAACAAAGGGTAATGTCTTAAAATATAATTAAAAGAANTAAATTTGGATTTTCTCTGTGCTTGGTTACATCAAATTTTTCAGAGACGTATGTATTTTTATCATAACCTTTTAATTTTTTTTGTTCTTTAATATTACAAACTAAATGATTTGTTCCGATATAGTTAGATGAATAAAAATCTAATGAAATAAAAAATCGATTAAAATACAGATTTAAATGTAATATTTTAAAATTTATTATTCAGGATGATTGAAATCTGGTAAGACAGTCATTTTTTCAGAAAATATTGAGAATTTTTAATTTTATTATAGCGAAAAAATATAAAGTTCAAAAAACTCTAGAATAATATGTAGTCAAATCATCATTTTTTTCGTTGCTTCAAGGATAAAAACCCTTATTTATAATTTTCTTAAATGGGACCCTTATTTTTAACTTTATAATATGATAGAAAAAAAATTACAAACAATTTTGTTCTAATAATTTTTTTTATCCGATTAACCGTTCGTTCGTTACAGCTTGTTAAAGTTAAGTGAATTTTGACCAAATTTCTATTGTTATTTTACTGTATTAAAAACTGAAGTCATTATTTTTATTTGCTGTTGCATAAACCAAATTTTATTGATCAAGTTATGACAGGTAAATTAGGTATAAACATTTATTACGCACTAAATGAATGATAACAATAATATATTCAAACCTGGTTTTCGGTGTATTATTAATAGCTAAGTCTATGGTTTTATAAGACTAAAGGATCTAACAAAAATACCGGTTGCACTGCCAACGATATGAAACGTAATAAATGACAATATTTTTTCTGGAAGTCAAAATCTTTAAACAATTATAAAACGTAAACGGATGTTCGGATAAAAAAAATTATAAAAACAAAATTGTTTGTAAATTTTTTTCTATCATATTATCAAATCAAAAACAGTGGTTCCAATTTAAAAAAAATTATAAATAAACATTTTTATTCCTGAAGGGATAAAAAAAAAAAATTATTTAACTTCATATTATTGTAGAGTTTTATAAACTTAATAATTTTTCTTTTTACAAAAATTATAAATAATCAATAGTTTCTGAGAAAATAAGTGTCCTACTAGACTGTGATCACTCTGTATATTTTAAAGACATTCATATACCAAAATTATCTTCAAAATAAAATTTTGCGGTTTTTAAAACTCAAAAAACATGTTACTTTTTATTTTGAATAAAGCATTAAGGATTCTTGTCATTTTAAATTTATTTTAATACAACTAAGCCTTATAAAAATGATACAAATATTGATTGTCAAATTAATTTTATGTACCTTTATTTCAAATGAAGAGTTTAACTTTTAAGATCGTGTCAGCAGATTTTAATAAACATTAAAAATTATGTAATTGGTATTTTTTATTATTAATATTTTATTAATAACTTATAGTTTATATAATTTATTAAGTAATACGCTCTATGTAATTTTTGGTTAAATTGATACAAAAAACCCAAATTTAATCATTTTACATACAATGAAGTTATTACTCAGTATAAAAAGTGTTTCCTCTTTTTTGGGCCTTAAATTCTATATCCTTCAGCCAATAATAGACTTTACTTGCCCATTCATCATGTACGCTGTATCCCAAACCATAAGCCCTTTATAATGAACATATTACATAAATAAAAATATATTATAGTATTATAAAAATATTTCATATATGATATATTATGACTAAATTAATTTTCGGAATCACTGAATATTTTCAGAGATGTTTAATTTTGTAAAATATTCAATCATATACTGAATTATGATTTTTTATATTAATCTTAACGTTTTTTTTTTAGTTATTTTCAATACTATTTAAAATGTATTAATCATTTTATTCTTATAGGAATAAAATGATTTGTAAATATATGTATGAACTTTAAAAATGCGAGTATTAGGAAAATCTTTACATCAACTGTTTTCTTAATTATTTTAGGATAATATTGAAATAATTACAATCTCTTATACTCCCAATCTGATGCCGTTACAGAATTTTCTTGACCTGATTCATTTGTGAGCGGATAAACAGATTTTTATGAACGTTCACTATCGTTGGATGATTCAATTTTACTGGAAGTGGATAAGTGTTTCAGACAGTGAAAATTTCTTGAACAAGAATCACTACGTTCTTCTATATTTAAGTCCAGACAATCTTGGAAATTGATATCCTGGAAATATTTTAAATTATTCACTGTAGTCAATACGAAAAAAATTGACTAATTACAATAGAATTTTGATAATTTTTATTTAGGTTTTTTGTTTAATCGGATAAAATATAACATATTCACTTTCATAGATGTAACATAAAACAAAAACTGATATCTGTTTAAAAATTAAATAGCATAATTTCAAAATTGAATAGATTGGTTACTAAGCAAAATTTCAATAACAATAAATAAAATCAGAGATTGAAAACATTTTTCTTTTTTTATATTTTTATCAATTAATTTAACAGAAATGATAATTGAATTTATGATCTAAAATATTTTGAGTATAATCATTTTGTAAACATGATATAAAATAATAATATTATTATATTAAGTCACGTGTTTTAAAATATTGAAAAAATGATTAATATTATATAATAAATTTAGATAAAAAAGCCAATAAACCATTTTATTGAAGTTTGAAATCAAGCTTTAAACGTTAATTAATAAATAAGTACTATTGATAACTCTAATTTAATGAACATTTGATTAAAATACACTGAAAAATAAAAAAAAAATTATTTTATTTTATTTAATAATGGTTTAATTCAATTACGAATAAAATTTACATTGATTCTATGTTAAAAACCTTGATTATTCATTTTTTCTATTTTTATATATTCATTCACTGTGCACTCTAACGAAATAATGAGTTGTGTATAGGCAACTTAACTTACATAATTATTAATGGTACGTAGATGAATGTTATCAAAAATTTACATAGTTGGTACTAGGAATTTATAAGACGAATGAATCTTCTTCGACGTCAACGGCAGCGAATAATATCAATCAGAGAATTGCACAAAAATAGGAAATAGTACCAGGAGCCTATGCGATGGAATAGTATCTGTTACATGGATTAGTGTTATCTAAAAGCAATTATCAGAGATTTGGTATTGGGCACCAAAAATATGGACACACAAGTTCAATTTGTATGTGTCGCTAACCGCTATAAAGCGATATAAAACAATAAGCTCTGTTAACGCTAATAGTGCTAGCATTGACATAACCTAATATCATTTGACACATCATAATAATTTTTAATAACTAAACGTACATTTATGTGCATTTATTAAGTACTTAATATTAATTAGTCGCTTTTGATGTAATTGTTCGGTTATTTCATCGAATGATTTTACCTATATAAATGGGACTACATGATCTTTCTTGTTTTGTCTAGTTATCTAATAATAAGTATTAACATTTAAAATAATTAAATTAGAAGTAATTAACGAGGCTATTAAAGAATACATTTATATTTTTGGTACGGAATCATTTGTCGATCATATTTTATGCTCAATTGGCACACAGGTACAGACTATATTAAAATCATTGGCGTGCTAAAATTATTAAAATTTGATAACAAGGTCTTTTGTTTTATGGTCAATTTGAAATAATGTAAAGTGAACACAAAAACTGAAGAATTAATTTATGTAGATAAATAAGGAGATACTAAACAACTAACTCGACTGAATTTCAGCAGCTTCATGTGAGAACACATGATCATAAAAATCTTTTTGACGATTAAGAGAAAGTTCATATATTTTTAATCAGTTTAGAATTGACATATTAACTTAATAAAATTCCTAGATCTTATGAAGGTATTGTTATCAAGTAATCGGTATTGACGTTAAAAGTAACGTGATTTCTAGGTTATCAACAGGTTCTCTTTTTAATATTTCGTGATATAAATTAAATTTAAAAAAAAAAGGTAGTACAATGGAGTTGCCGCGCAGTATGGACGTGGCATAGTTGGGACAAGTATAGATGATATTTGACAGTGATTAAATCAATACCATAAGAAATACTTCGATGCATATCTGTAGATAGCCTTTAATTTTAATAAATTGGTTAATTATACCTTAAGCAAAATGAATTCCTATTTTCTTCATTAATGCTCATTAGTAGTTCTTTGATTTATAAGTATGAATAAATATTTATTATGGCAATTAAATATAGTATGAAATCGATATTTAATAATTTAATATTGTAATTTTTTCGGAGAAATTATAAAAAATTATAAAGTAGTTATTACTATTAAGGCAAACGTGTATAAAAATTAAAGGACTTGGTATAAAACTTTTTGAAAATAATTTTTTGTTAATTATGAATTAAAAGTTTCACAAGGAATTTTCATCAGATTCAAAAATATACTTTTATTATTTAATTTTTCGTGCTAATTTTAAATGTGCAATTAGATTTTTTGTTATCACTACTTACTATTGTTATTATTAATAATTAGTTAAAAAAATATAGGATATAATATACAGAATATAGCTCTTAATATTTCAATTAATGGATCTATTTAAACACCAAGAGTTGTATAGAAATATATTTATAATTATTATAAAGAGTGTTCAGTAAGTAAGGAAACAAGTTAATTGTTACAAACAATGAGATTAATAAAAACCCATTTCCTTCCTTATTGAACAGCCTATATAAGTT